GTCAGAGTAGCTATTTTTGCATTGTGAAATATTCAAGTTGAGTTGTTTATCACGAAAACATTAAAAATATGAAGAAAGAACGGGGTGATTTTTTTTGGTTTGTTTTTTACGGATGGCCAATTTTGTTAGCAATGGCCTATCACGGCCTAAGTATAAATGTAGGGTTCAGTTGTGCAATTTCATCTTTAACAACTTTAAAAAAAACACTTTTATTTAGGTACAATTTTCATTTAACTTTTATGTGCAATTGGTTTTAATTGACTCATTATTTAAGTCCACTTTTGTTTTTATCTTCCTACAGTATATTGGAGTGCAGAGTTAATTTTCAAACTGTGCATAATGTTACAGTGGCTTATGGTGATGCTTGGAGATTTCAGCATTTTTTAAGTAGTGTCAAAAATTTGAGAGAAACTGAAATAAGATCAAACAACATTTATCCCTAACCCAAAAGTTTCTGCCGTAGCTTTGCTGAGTAAAAAAAAAAAAAAAAGACAAATAGATGAATACACCGAGGACTATCAGAGCTGTAAAATACTCCACCGCATTTTATAGCAACCCCCACATTCTCCGCTCCCTAGAGACTGAACCGCACTGCGGATGAGATCAGAGCAATTTAATTCAACGATTAGCAAGTGTAAACTTCCAACACTCTGGTAAATGATCTCCTCATAAAAGTATACTTTAAAATTTTGTGTAATTTAGTTATACGCGCATATCACTCCTATGCTTATTCTTTATTCTTGCTACCTTCGCTTCAAATTGCATCACACATGTATACTGTATGTAGTATTTATTTATTCAGGTACACTTCTGCTGATTCTGCCTCCACAGTATGTTGCATGGATGAATACATACGGACTGTGTATATTCTTGATATACAGTACTGTATACGCATATTTTTCTTCTTAGTGTGTGCTACGACAGTGCTTACTCTTCTGCTGTAAAAGTGGAATTTCTCCCCCAATCCCAAAAGGTCTGTCTGCTATACACTGTATTTGAAGACGGCATACATGTGACATGTGAGGGCCATATTTGCCTGTTTTTTTTTTTTTTTTTTTTTTTTTAAATCGCCAGGAGTTGCTTGCTTTTCATGTATTCTTTATTTCTTCTACTCTGCAGACATCTAACACACCCAGCGCCTGTCCGTTGGGAAAGGACTTGGCCATGCCATACTGGAGAGGCGTGATTGCTTGACAATTGAGGCTGTCTGGAAATGATGGAGCATGGATTTTTTTTCCTGAGATAAAGCACACTTTAAATCGGAAAAGACCTTAAGTGGCAGATCCACTGTTACTCTTATTACTCTTACACTTTGAAGGAGAGCATGTTTTTTTTCTGTATGAGGATAAACGGTACAGAAAATGAATTAATGGAAATAAATCAAATAAATGTACTTTCACCAGAACATTTTTATGACTGCGGACATGTCTGGCAGTTCATCAAGTCGATGGGAGAATGTGTGCAGCCAGATAAGCCCATGACTGCACAAGTTTTTCCTCTTACGTACATGAGAGAACATGGCCCTAATTTGTCATTTTTATCAATGGACCAAGTATTTTGTACCGGTAGTTTATATCTCAAAAACTGTGTGTTCTCCTTCCAGAGGGAGAAAAAATGCATCTCGTGACACAACACTGTTTATATAGTTTATTGTACATTTCTTGTAAAACCTTCTTTTGCCAAAACCAGTCACAGTATTATTGGTACTTGGAAAGTAGAAATGTGGATTGTGTGTGAAGGCTTTTTGTTGAAAACTCTTCGGAAACTTACATTTGCAATGTTAATATGAATATGAGTATGCATCAATATAATGCATAATCAGTCAAAAGATAGCTGAAATGAGGCGAAAATAAATAATTTGTTTTTTCACCATGTACTCATCTTGCCTGAACTTTAAAATTAATCACGACGCTAATTACAAAAAGAAAGCATGGCAAAGCTGCATTTGTCTGACTAGACATTTTTGCAAATGTAAGACTTTTTTTTTTTCAACTTGCTTGACTTGGTCATGAAAAGAGACAATTATTTTTGGGTAATCCAGCTGATCAGTTAATCATCACATTATTACAGCACTGTCAGACTTCCATTGTTGTAAATGACTTCCGTCCAAGTCAGCATCCTGAACTTTGATGGCACACCAGAGCATCATTTGTACCACAGGGGTGCTGAAATCCTACAATTTATTGACTTTCAGCACAACCTCTTGGGTTACAGGAAGTCATTAGACCGGCGAGAAAATCAAATAATGGACTTTCATCACATGCGACTCGCAAATAGAAGAAGCACTTTTCTTATCCTGTTTGCCAAGCTGAACGTTCAGCAGACCCCTGCATTGAGAGCTGTAAATGGCTGCTGCTGAGCACACGCAGAGGTGAGGTTTACTTATTATACCTGCTTTAAAGAGAAAAAGAATCAATCCAGGAAGGCCGATGTACAATTTCCATATTTCCATACAAAGGCTCTTTGTATGGAAATACAAGTATCTAAACTAATTTCAGTTCGGGTGTTATGGAAGTGAAGTGTTTATGTGTCTTTTTGCACTCCACAGTCACATTGATGAATTTGTTTTCATCCCGCTAAAATTACGGTCTGCTGCAATGATGTCAAACAAATTTCCATGCCCTTTAATTGACAACATAATTTACAAGACAAAATGATAATTGGCAACTCTAATGTAAGTTTTGCTCCACTTCACTGAGTACAATATGAATGCGGAGAGGTATGCCGTGGGGCCACGGCACGCCGAGTGGCGCAGCTGAATGAGACTCAACTGAGCAACCACGAGGGAGACAAAAAAAAAAACAAGAACAACAACAGCTTGCGTCTCAGTCCCGCACACAAGTCCTAAAGTCCTATTTACAAAAAGTTATTGATGATTTCAATTTACTATCAGTCATAGTAAGGCAATCTGTATTGGCACAGCAGATGGTGGTGGCCACAGAAATCCACTTCTTACACAACGGTAAAGCACAAAAAGGAAATAGCTTCCTAAAAATGAGTTGCACAATTTACACGTGTTGCCCTTCAAATTGTGTGGGTATATGTGCTACCGTGATCCTAACTATTCATTAAAACCATGACACTCTTATCTTTATACAATAACAATGACAAATTTGACCTTTTTCTTGTTTGTCTCCATAGCGGCTCTCATATGGGAGCTGCTATAGTTGCCACACATGACTGCAGAGGGCTCGATGAAAGTTTGTGCTAACCACATTTATCACCACCTGTATCCGTGTTTTTGGCATCATTTGTGAATTCCGAACTCCTGTTTCCATGCCTGTGCTGCACTGAGCACAGTAATGCCGAGAGGAGCTGTGCCATAAGGGCAAAACACGTTTGAGAGTGACTCAATAGCTGCTGAATGCATCCAATTGCCCCGTTTTGTCTTAACCGATGAAGGAAAACAATTTATCAATCAATACCCAACCCTAATTCTTCAAGATTGACCCGACTATTTACTCAACGAAAATGCTGCGAGTTTCTCAATAGCTTTTCAGCAGTTTTTTTCCCCCTTTGTGCTGCTCCATCAAATTCAACATCTTCTTCTTCCGGAGTGATTGGAGCTGTAATATGAACCAAGTACACATCACTAATGTTTCTGTCTGTGTCCTCATGAGGTTTTGCAGCAGGAAAGCCAACTGACTCACCTCGGTCTGGGAACTCATATTGACATTTTTACAAAGTATAAAAATAATTGATCTTAGACAATTATTAGAGTGCAGCATATCACAAGCATGACTTGTATTATTTCCTTTGTCACTGTTAGGTTGTTCTGTTTTGCTTAAAGTTGTAAAGCCGTGGAATGCATCGAACTAAGAGCTTGTATGAAAAAAAAAATGAAGATGGATGCTGCAGATAAACAATTTGACATAATGATGAGAGGTCAATGTTTTGATCGATCCATTGATCTATTTTCTGTATGACCCGGCCGACTGAGAAGCAGGGCACACCCTTGCCTGATTGACAGTCATACCCAGAGTTTGGAGGGTCACTTTTAAAATATATTCCAATTCAGTTACTTGTTACCTGTTTAAAAAATGTCATTTGTGATGTAATCCAAGTACAGTATTAAAATGATTTAATGACTTTCAGATCACTCCAATACCAAATATGCTAATGAGGATAAATAAATACATACATCACGGGAGTATATATATCACATGTATGTTTGTATAGAGTAGACTCTTGTTATTTGCAGGGTATAGGGGACTGAGCCGGGCCGCAAATAGTGAAAATCTGTGAGCAATCAATGTCCACCAATATGCATAATTAAAAATAGATGGCTGGATGAATCGATAGTTCGATAGAAAAACACCTTATTTATCCCATGAGGGAAATTAGATTTGCTTCCTTTAAGTTGTTGTAGCTATAAAGACTGAAATGGGAAAAAGAGGATGAAAGCACAAATTAAGGGAATGCAGGCAACATTTAGCCCCCACTCAACGCCCCCACACATGCACGCGTGCACACACACACACACACGCGCGCACGCACACACACGCACACACACGCACACACACACACACACACACACACACACACACACACACACACACACACACACACACACACACACACGCACACACACACGCATTGTAATGATGAGGATGTGTGACGTCAACCCCACGCAGTTAGGTCGAGAACATGCAAACATGGATTACATTAATACCCACTGATGTACCTACATTTATTGATCGATTTATTTTATTTTTAACCTGTGGGTGAAATTACGTGAAAGAAGAGGGCGCTGCCCACTTGCTATTAGTGCAAACACAACTACTTCTACCTACAGCACTAGAGTGGAACAGTGGCACTATACATTTATACATAAAACAGTATGAGCAATACCCGTCACAATTGTTTCCATAATGTATTCAATTGCACAGTGCTCATACTGAGCAGGGGAGGAAATCACTTTATCCAATGTTGCATATCTGTATGATAACTTACAGTATTTGATGCTGGAGGTCCAAGAGCGGCCAGTGAGTGAGGGTGTAGTTGCGGGAGGAGGCGTGCAGCCCGGAGCCCGTCCGTCATCTTCACGCCTCCTATTGGCTGCAGCGAAATGTTGGCCGCCTCTCTGCTTCTTTCGCTCCCCCTCCGTCAAATATTCTTGGACCTGCCGGAGCTTTGCGATGGGTCGACAGAGGTAGCGTTCACCTGTAGATGGTCCACCACACCCCCCAATTGAAGATTTCGGATTACCGCTGGAATTAACTGCACTTTACCACATTTGTCTCTTTGTTTCGTGGAGATTGTCGTGCATTTTATTTATTTATTTTCAAAGAATTTTAACCTGCATGGAGGGATGCGGGCATGGCTTGCACGAGGCGAACCAAAACTTTGGTGTCCACATGCGTGATCCTGAGCGGCATGACCAATATTGTGTGTCTGCTCTACGTCGGATGGGTGACTAATTACATCGCCAATATTTACATCAAAGTGCCCATGCCTTTCCCCGAGAGAAAGTTCGAGGAGGTGGACAAAAGATCAGGAGACACTCTCAGACTCATGGAGCGACTCGATCGCCTGGAGATTGTGGTCAATCAGCACATACAAGGTAAATCAAATCGAATCAGATCATTAATAGCCTCCGTGCGACTTTGGTCACACGCGTGACTTCACCGGCAGTGGCAAAGTTATTCAGGGGTTTTCAGCACTCGCAAGCAACGGGTATGTCCCCGCGGGTGGCTTTTTTTTAACCGCCTCATCTGTGTTTCGACACTTGCAAAATGAAGGGTACGTAACACGACCCACAGCACTTAAAGCAACTATAACACCGGCCACTTCACTTGCACAAACTGAGATGCTATATTCCAAATTCTGCCTTGAACAAAATAATTGCCTAGTTTTGATCGAAACTGTCAATTTCTCATTTAAGTGGCTGCAAAGCTGCACTGCATCACACGGAGAGCTGTTTCGAACAATTTGACAGTCAACTCTATGTACATAATATAAACAAAAAAAAAAATCACATAAATCCTCCATTACCTTAATGCTAACATATAATGGGAAACTCCATAGGCATATAAAAATTATGAATGTGGCCGTGTTGTTACTCTTAAGTTTAAGCAATGGATGTCTGAACACAAGTGGTGCAGCAACACATGTTGACAGATCATGTAACGATACTCACACAAATATATTCTTTATCCTGAGCGACGAACAACTAATATTAGTGACATCTTGAGGGGCCGAGAGAGGACCTGAGTCTCCAGCATATCCATTTTTTTAAATACTGTCCTTAGGTGGCCATGCTGTATTGAAGGAGAGAGTGTGGAAAAAAACCTGCTCAAATTTTTCATTGAATTCTTTTATGACTGCATGTTTGATATATATAATATTACATAATGTTTTTCCTCAGTAAACAAATACAGTTATGTGTTTTGGGGGCGAATTAAACTTGAATCTCAGGGCACCACTGTATTTTGAAGTGAATCTCGTTATTGCTGAGGGCCCAGAGATTGGGTTTGAGTGGTATGGCTCTCGTGTATTGTAGGCTGAGATGTTAAGTGCTCATCATGTCTGAGAAATAAGCCTGAAACTCAATTACAATAACATAAAGTACAACACTTGGAAGCCAGAAGCTGATTTTCTACATAAATGACTTCTTTCTTGTTGATTTTTCACTGTTTATGTGATGCATTTTAAAATGGTTCCTTTAATTTTTAATGGTTGCACTTTGAGTAATTTACAAAATACCTAAGGTCAAAGCAGCAGTCTGGTTTTAGAGGGGATAAAAATCCAGCGTGACATTCATCATTACTTATATCACTGGCAAGAAAACATTCTCATAGCACTTTTTCATGTACTGTGTATGTGTAATGTGTCACAACTCCATTAACCTCCACCTTCTTCATAATTTTATGAAACCAACCGTTTAAAAATAACTGACCTTGTAGTTATATATCACGTCTGACATGTTCCGTAGTTATAGAGAGCATGCTTGGAATTCTTTTTTCGCTTCCCTCCAGCCTTTCAGTCACTTCTGGTCCATGGTTACTGAATGCGAGATTAAACACTGCTAATTTCTTTCTGTTGCGAGTCCTCAAAAGAACTATTGTTTTCATCATGTGGTGGTTTATGATGGCTGGGGGGGGGGGGGTCTTCGGGCAGGTCACAAACTGAAATGGCGTCAGTGGTAGCTGGTGCCGAAGTGAGACGCAGACAGGAATCGATTCACAGTGTTTGGAGCGTTGAAGTTTTAAGCAAAGCTCGGCTAATCATTCTTAATGGAACCACGTCTCCATTTCTGTTTGCCATCCAAAAACCCCTGCGCGGTGAAGTGGTATGTAGTTGCCCCAGTTGTCTTAATTAGACACGGCTTTCACTGAATTCATTCAAGATTTACAATTATTGTCTTATGCATGACAGAAACACAGTGGTTAACTGAACAATGAAATTCTTCCTTTTGGGAGTTTCCTACCCAGAGCTCAGAATAACTTTAAAACAGGCAATAAAATCTGTAAATTTGTAACATTAAAAATATATTTTTATATATAGACCAAAAACTGTTCAGTTTTAACAGCATAGAATTGTGACATCATTTCATAACATTTTAAAATGTAATGTCCAGTATAACATGAAATGTGTGGATCCTTCTGGTTGGTCGAGCTATAGTTTTTCTTAAATACTCATCGTTTTAGAAGCAGAGGACCAGGTAGATCAAATTGATTGCCTGATACCATAATTGCCCAAGTCACTTTTACTCAATTTATCAATTTAAAAAGATATGCTTGCTACAAATTGTGTTTTTTCGTGTTTGTATATGCCTATGTCTATGTGATTCTCCATCATCCAGGTCATGGTGCTTCAAAAATGATGAATTGAGGCAAATAGGCTCTCGTTTGTTTTCTCCTTGTTTTCAAGAAACGATTAAAAAATGACTGAGGCAGTTATGTTATTAGACTAACAAAATGTAAGAATGATGCGGCCAAGTGTCATCCCATTAAGCAGCCCTTCACATTTCTCTGACACCGTTCTCTATAGTGCTCCGAGTCACTAGCGGGCATATTTGCATGGTATCTGACAATTGCTGTTGTGTATGTATCAATCATCTTGTCATATCATAATTCATCAGACCTGTCAGATGTAAAGTGTAGCTAAGCCACACTTGCTGGCTTTACAGAATGCATGCTTGCCATGTGGATGTATTTTGATGTTGCCGTCACAAAAATAAGAGAGTTTCAGCAAGACAGTGAATGTTATTCTGATTGCCTTGCTCAACTCCTAAACAAACAAAACAAACAAACAAAAAAACCCCAAAAAAACTCACACCAGACCCAAAATTTGCACAATTCTGCAAACAGAGACACTGTATATGCAATTTATGTGTCATTTATTCACTATCCCTAATATCCATCTTAATGTCCACAGTGTAAACAACACAGAAGTAAACAAAGAGGAACAAATGATACGGAATTTTAAATGTTACCTACTGTTGAGTGGGCCTACCCCGACTCTGTGTCACTTTGAATTCAATGACCTATGACCTATGACAAAACTCCTTTCAGCTTTGCAATTTCTTGCGTCTGGCTCATTTCAGCGCACTGTGGCATTTGCTTCTCCCAGAGCAGTTTTTCGGGTCTACTGTCCCCACATAGTATGATGCAGAATGGGTAAATACAGCCGATTCACACCCATTTGGGACAAAAATATAACTTCTATGCAGTTGCCTGCTTGTTTGAATAACAAGGTAATGTTTGTTTACCTCCGCTCACACTTCCAATTCCATCACCTAAAACTTTTGTGCTTCTGGCGCTCTTCCAAATTTTACATAGCTATCAGCACTATAAAGTACAACCCCTCTCTTAAATAGGGCATTTTCCACCACTTTTACAAATGTCGTCAATTGTGCTGCAACGTTGTTAGCTCACACACCACCTGGTCACAAACAGCCTGTGAAGTCTGCTTGACTGAACGTGCAATTTAGTGCCCGCTATTTGGGGATCTTCTCAAGTGTACGAAAAGTGCTTTATTCTGAGTTCACTCCATTCACTTATCTCCTAAGCATATCTTTCCATTCTATTCATGTACAAACCTTCACCCGCTGCCATTTAAATTTAATTTAGCTGCTTTTCCCCTGATTTTTCTGCATGAGACAATTAGCACCTTGAGGTGTTTTTTTTCAGCTTGTTTTTAGCGACATTGTCTTTTTGTGCTACTTTTAAAAGTAGGACAGACATCCCGTAATGAGTAGTCTAGTCCATGCCATTTGCATATCAAACACTTTCACTCTCTCAATGTCTCAGCAGCACGTGTGCAGACGCTAGCTTTGTTATGGCTGTTATGGATGGCTGCTTTGGATCTGTTGTATTTCATAAATTCCAGGCAAAGTGCAAGGGCACAACATGGATTACATTAATACCCACTACATATGAGCTCCTGTTTTTCAGCCTTCAGTTTGTTTGTTGACATAACTATGGGTGGGATGATTCAAGCTTCCTCATACTATTTTCAATGCTGTCATTGCATTGCTATATGTCACTCTAAGGACACGCCACTGTCTGGATCTGCCATCTAACTGCCCCAAGAGCATGTATTGAAGCTATTAGTAATAGTTGCCAACGGCATCAACAGTGAGCTCGCTGCAGAGACAGTCATTAGTGCACTTTCACAAGTCTTCCTCAAAATACATTTTCTACTTGTATTGCATTGCAAGACAAGTATAGAAGTCATGTTCTCATTTTATCTATTCTGACCTTGGCATTTTGCAGGAGCTGTGACTTTGACACAGATGCACGATTAACACATCTACCACCTGAGCTTGCACTTCGTTTTAGTGCACCGATATTCAGTCAGACTAAAGAGCATGTAAAGAACATTTATTGCAGCTGGCTTGCTGCGGCCTGTTCGTAAAAAGGTTTGTGGCGTCACGTGCACAGTGTGGGAGGAGAAGCACTATGTGACATTGCAAAGTATCGCCGTTGCCACGACAAAGCAACATGGCAACAGCACAGAGGCTATTTGAACTCCATCTATTATCACAATGTAGTCAGCCCGGGGGAATTTATTGGCTAGTTAGACAGTGCAGGTTCACACACGCCCACCATGAGGGCTGTGCCACTGACACCCACTGTGCTCACTGCCATCTACTGTACTGCCACCAAAAGTTCTGGAAAAATTTAGCAGCTGTGTGTGTGTCTCACAGTACACAGAACACTGTGTCCTTTGTATCAGTCAATGCTTTTGGCTCTATTTTGGGCAAAAGAGTGAGTAGATGCTAGTTTGCATACAGAGGACATGCAATGATTTAATCAAGGGCATGGTCTGGCAGCACCGACGGAGGAAAACTTTATTTTACATTCATAGGAGACTCAACGTGAATGGATTATTAGCATGAATGTTTTTGTCTGTCCTTTGATTGGTGTGTGTTAGTTTTGGGCTCCTCCACCGTATGACTCTCCACAGCTTATGTGGTGTAGAAATTGGATGGACACTGAAGGTAATTTCTTTGCTTTTGTGCCATGACTGAAAGATTTTTTTAAAAAAATGTATCAGTAATAAATAATAATGCATCAGATTTATAGGCCGTTTTTCTGGACAACTGGACACTCAAAG